TTGCGATTTTGTCGTTGGAATTCTCTCGTTGCGATTTTAATTTCTCGTTGCGATTCTCTCGTTGCGATTCATTTCGCGTTGCGATAGTCATTTTTCACGTTGCGATTTTAAGTTTCGTGTTGCGAAAGTAAACTATTTCTTCTTCTGCAAATTGAAACTTGAATGGATTACATTACTTCAACCAAAAGACAAAACAAAGACAATTACTAACTTTAGAGTATTAAAGAATACACAGTTTAGCAGAATTGGCAGCAACCGAACAAATTTACTTTCAACCAAAAGACAAAACAAAGACAAATACTAACGTCACAGTGTTAAAGAATACACAGTTTAGCAGAATTGGCAGCAACTGAACAAATTTACTTTCAACCAAAAGACAAAACAAAGACAAATACTAACTTCACAGTGTTAAAGAATACATAGTTTAGCAGAATTGGCAGCAACCGAATAAATTTACTTCAACCAAAAGACAAAACAAAAGACAAATACTAACTTCACAGTGTTAAAGAATAAACAGTTTAGCAGTATTAGCAGCAACCGAATAAATTTACTAAGTAATCTAAGTGAAATGGTTAATCTAAGTGAAATTACGAGTAAATTTATCATCAAGTTAAATATGGAAAATCTTAAACTTACCTCATTGCGTAGAGTATGAACCTCATTCTGTAACGATACTACCATCTTATGTAGAGCGGCAACCTCACCATGTAAAGTAGACACCTCCACACGCTATGCACCATCGTTATCGCGTAGAGTACCGATCTCCTCACGTAAGGCATTGGCCTCATCACGTAACTCCCTTGACTCATCCCGTGGAGGTGGAGAACAGGGACATAGAAGTCGTGGCATCTTTGCTGGTCGCCTATCATGAGGTGATGGTGGAGAAGAGGCTCGATGATGTGACGGGATAGGTGATGGCTCTCGTTGTAGAGGTGTATAGTCGGGTCGATCAGGTGATGACTCTGGGTGAGGTGATGGCTCTCGAAGTGGAGGAAGTGAAGGCTGCTCATCATTCGTGCCATCAAAAAAACGCTGACTACCTTGCCACCAATCAGTGGCAAGCTCAGCCTTCGTGGGTGTTAGTCTCTGTAATGGAGTATTGGCCTCCTAAAAATATAAAAACTCAAACAAAGTTAAATGTCTACTATTAATAACTTGTTTATATATGATAGTATTTGTGTTAACTTACATTATTTATTGTCGCATATGGTATTAAGTCTTCCCAATCCAACAGACGTTTCCTCTTCCAGGAAATAGCCCTAGGAATATCATTTGAAGTTTTTAATGCATATGTCTGCATGCTGGGGAAAGCCTCGAATATCCAAATCTACAAACAATATAATAACAAACATTAGTAATTGTTAAATAATTAATTATAATTTTGAAAACATTATATAGAAATTCTTACCTTAAAGGCCCAAACAAAGCCTGACAAAGTGTATTTCGACCCATCGCCACGCAAACTTTTGCGGTCATCAAAGGCAGACGACAACTTAGTCCATGTAGCTTTCCATATATACGAACCCCATAGAAACAGATTCCATGCATTTAGGTCCTGTACCAATAATATTAGCTCCTGAGGAATAGGTTGTCTGGCCTCTCTGCCTAAAAAGCCAGCATACAAAAGTACTAGAAGGCATACTCGGACAACATCAACGTCATTCATCCGAGTAAAACCATCTTTCTTATTAAACAATTTCTTCAGGTCGTCGACGTGTAAGTTCGTCTTCTCTATTGACTCATCAGGAAAAACCCGGGATAACCATGATAGGCGGGTGATATGAGGAGTGTACCGGCCTACATCATCGTGTCCGAATCATAGACCAGTGATTAAGCAGAACTCCTTCCGCCCAAAACAAGTATACGCCGGTGGAAAATAAAACCATATCTCTTCCTCACCACGTTGTATATTGTCGGGTAGATCACTAGTCATGGTCTGAAGCCACAAATGGGTCAAATTAGCATCTCCACCCGGATGATGTACTCTCAGCCATGGCCCGAAGCAGGTTTCCTCAAACAATTTTCTTTGTGCAGGTGAAAGCTTCGAAACAATTGTAGTGGCTAGGCTAACTTTATTCCTTAATGTCAATGAAGCCGAAAAAATTTCTACAAAAACAATAAACATACCAAGTTAGATATACCAAAAACTACACTGTGAAGATATACCAAAAACAATAAACATAAAGAGTAGTAGTTTATTCTTGAAACTAAAATTTGCAACACTGTTTTGTCTTTTGGTTGAAATGAAAATCGCAACGAGAGAATGACTATCGCAATGCGGAAATGGCTATCGCAGCGAAAGAATCGCAACACGAAATGAAAATCGCAACGAGAGAATCGCAACGCGAAATTAAAATCGCAACGAGAGAATCGCAATGCGAAATGAAAATCACAATGCGATTTTGGTTTCGAGTTGCGATTATCTCGTTGCGATTTTCATTTCGTGTTGCGATTCTCTCGTTGCGATAGTCATTTTCGTGTTGCGATTTTAAGTTTAGAAACTATTCTTCTTCTGCAAATTGAAACTTTAATGGATTGCATTACTTCAACCAAAAGATAAAAACAAAGACAAATACTAACTTCACATGGTTAAAGACTAAATAGTTTAGCAGTATTGGCATCAATCGAATGAATTTAATAAGAAATCTAAGTGAAATGGTTAATCTATTATTGAAATTACCAGTAAACTTATCATCAATTTCAATATGAAAAACCTAAAATAATGCAAAAATTTCAAAATAAAAATAATTAAAAAAATAACCTTTGGAGGTTGATTTTCCATTTCTGACCGTGAATGGTTGTGAGGGATTTCGCCGAAGATGGGGACGGAAATCTTCGGAGATGGGGACGGATTTCGTCGTAGAGAGTGAGAGATGGAGATGGGACTGAGTTGTGATTTTAGGTTTTAGGTTATGAGTTGCGATTACGGGATATACTGTTGACGGTTCAGTGTTCCGATAATTAATATTCGTGCTTGGAATTTGAAAATAAAATACGCGTAGCGATTCTAATGGCGCTTTAAAAATCGCGTTACGATTTACGGATACGCGTTGCGATTTTACGTATTGTCGTTGCGATTTACGGATACGTATTGCGATTTACATATTCTCGTTGCGATTTACAGATACGCGTTGCGATTTACGTATTCTCGTTGCGATTTACGGATACGCGTTGAGATTTTACGGATACTAGTTGCAATAGTCAGAATCGCGTTACGATTTATATGTTCGCGTTGCGATTTTCATATTCTCGTTGCGATTCTGGAAAATCGTAATGCGAATTTGTACTATCGCATTGCGATTCTTCATAATCGCGTTGCGATTCTGGGAACTGATTTGCGATTCTGGAGATCGCGTTACGATTTTTATTTCGCATTGCGATTTTGTTGGTCATTTTGGCAAATCCAAAAAAAGTTGGTTAAAATCGTATATTATAAGGCATTTTTGGTCACTGAGGTTATTTTCTCTTTAAAACATCCATTCTAATATTTAAATAGGACATCCATCGAAACTACAAAATAAAAAAAAAATATTACCAAATAAAATACAAATTTAGAAATGTGGATTAAATAAACACTTGAACTTTTTTAAAAAAATTGTTAAGATTTGGAGAGTCTCAATTGAACAATCGAAAATGTGCAAAGGGGGGTAATTGATAAAATTTGTTTAAGAAGTAAGGAGATAAAAAGATAAGACAATTGACATAAGGATTTATAGTAATTCGACTCCTCAACCAAGTCTATTTTCACTACCTAAGCTCTTCAGTTAGGATTTTCTAACAAATTCACTAATTTATTCTTTCTTTTACAAGGATCAAGAGATAACATTTACAACTCTATATATTTTCACTTGGTTAAGATAGAACCAATCCCCTTTTACAAAAGGTAAAAAGAAGTAAACAATAAAACCTCTCAAAGGTATGGTGTTCACAAATTTAGCTCACTAGAACAAAACTATTTACAAGAGAAAGTAAAATAGGAATAAAAAACCCATCTTTTGTTTGATTGCTTGGATAGGTGTTCTAACCATTCTTCAAGTATCTTGAACTTGTATTTATATGTTGGAATGTTGTTGTGGCCGTTTCTAGCCGTTAGAAGCGTTTTGGAATCGTTGGGGATCAATTTTCGTGCAAAATAAAATTGTCCAGTACAGAGGGTATCTATACTACTAAAGGGAGTATCGATACTACCTTTGTTATTTTTAAATCAACTAGCCGTTGTGGCCTGATAGTATCGATACTATGCCTATGGTATCGATACTACTATACAAAGTAGTATCGGTACCCCTTTAAGTATCGATACCATTTTTGCATTTTAGAATTTGAGCATTGTTGGTAGTATCGATACTTCCCTTACATTTGGTATCGGTACCATATGAACAATATCAATATTGTTCATGAGGTATCGATACTGTAAGAACAATATCGGTACTTTATTGTCCAAAAAACATTTTGTGTTTAATTCCAAGTTAAATAGACTTTGAATTATTTTTTGAAAATTTTGAATAAATTCAATTCAAGTCCAAAAATATTTTGCCTTAATTGTTATATCAAAATATAGTTCAACAAAAATCAATTTAGCTCTCGAACAAAATCAATAAAAAAACCTAATTTAGCCCATTTGTCATGTCATCTGTCACGTCATCAATCACAATAGACTTCTACACCAACATCATGGACCTTCACATTAGCACCGTAAACTATCATATTAGTACTATAGCAGTCAACGACGGAAAATGTTAGTCAAATGGTCACATTGAATTTGTTTTATAAGTTAGAAAGGCACATTGAGAGAGAAAAATAGTACGATGTTTTTTTAAAATTACATAAGCCTCTAATGCATTTTTATCTTTTTCTTTTCTAAGATAAAAATTAAAATTTAGGTTTAAAGACGTTCAAATGACTTAATATCGTTATGAAAACACTCATATTACTCGACATCTCTAATAAGACTATAGTTTTATTAATTTTTCAAACTGTATTTCAATGGATAATTTTTATTCGTATCTAATACTTACCATTAAACTCGAATATGATTATGCAGAAGCGAACTGAACAATCTTCAAGAGTCAGCAGGCTCTTTGGAAAAGGAAATTACAAGAAAGACACACACAGGAACAACTACGAAGGCAGCAATCTTCAACAAGTCCTCAGCATCCTTTGAAATCACACCAATCCTCGACCAGTCCCCACTATACCTGAAAACATCGCAATAACAAATGAAGTTCACTACTCGTTAAATACTTTTACATATTTGTATACAACGTTCAACTCGACCCGGAAAATATAAACCGACGTTACAAAAATAATGAAGTGGATAGAGAAACGAAGGTGGTTAATCTTACCCGGCATCAATGAATCCAAGTCCAAACAAACCAACCAGAGACCTCGCAAGAACCGTGTTCGAAACTCCGAGTTTGAACTTCGGAAATCGATCGTTGCTCGAACTCGGACAGACGGTATCTTTTCTTTTACTCAGTTTGGTAACAAATCTTGAGTCGGTCCTTGTCACGGGAAGATGGGAGGAGAGAAGAATGCCATTGAAGGTTAAGCTTTTGTGTATTGTCCACATTTTCCTCTCATCACATATCCGATGAGATATCTCATTACCCTTATCCATAGAGGAAAAGAAAACAGTACGTAATTTCACAGAAATTTCCAACAATGCCATTGCAAACTATGTCATGAATCTATCTATATGTTATAAATTCCGCTAGAATAAAAAGGGGTATTCTAGACATTTGGACTATATTATTTTAGGAAGTAATTAGGTTAAGAGAAAATCGCCTCAGTAACCAAAAATATCTTATAATATACGATTTTAATCAACTTTTTTTGAATTTGGCGATTCCAAGAATCGCAAAACGGCAAAAGAAAATCTCAAAAGCAGTAGAGTTGTTCGTATTGCATTTGTTTCTTAAAAATTTTCTCTAAAAAGATAGTATCCGCGCGGACGTGTCGAAGACACATATTACCACGACCACGACCACGACCACGACCACGACCACGACCACGACCACGAGACGGCGGCGGCGCGCGAGAGTCCCCCTTGTTCTCTTTCACTCAACAAGGAAATGAGAAATCCAAACCTTAAATACACTTCCCAATAGTGTTTCCAATACTATGTGGGATTGAACATTACCAACAACCTTCACATGTCAACCTATTTTGTGTGCTTAATTTGACTGTGCCATTCACTAAAATTGTTGGAGATTAGTTCATTTGAAGAAGTGTAACTAATAAACCATAAGCCAAGTAAATTGCTTTTATTTGTCGTGAAATGATGTCCCTGCAACCTTTGGTGGAACTTTGGACCTTGTAATAAACTTGAACTATGCTTCCAGTTCCATCCAGTAGAGAATTTAAAATCATAACTTGTAACTTTATCTCCAATATCACAAAGCAACAAAAAATCTACAAGAAATTGATCAGCTATGAGGAGAGTCTTGAATGTAGAATTGTTGTGTATAAATCCACATGTATGCATAACCGGGTAGAAATTATATTTGTATACGGCAACCCACCCTTTTTCACTAAACAAAACAATTTTGGCATACCAAATGAAACAATTTGTATACGGCAACCCACCCTTTTGAGATTTTCTTTTGCCGTTTTGCGATTCTTGGAATCGCGTTGCGATTTTCTCAATCGCATTGCGATTCCTGGAATCGCGTTGCGATTTTCTCAATCGCGTTGCGATTTTCTCAATCGCGTTGCGATTCTTTGAATCGCATTGCGATTTTCTTTTGACCGTTGCGATTTTCTTTTCAACATTGCGATTTTCTAAATCGCGTTGCGATTTTTGTTTCGCATTGCGATTTTGTTGGTCATTTTGGCAAATCCAAAAAAAGTTAATTAAAATCGTATATTATAAGGCATTTTTGGTCACTGAGGCGATTTTCTCTTAGGTTAAATATGGGCCCGAATAAATAAGAAAATTTTCTTATTTCAAACGCATTTTCATTTCTCTTTTCGTTGTGATTTTTGAAAATAAATTTATTTTATTTTCGATTTTGAGTATAATTTGCTCCATTGATTATCTTTTATTATTTTTAAATATTTTACATAATCAAGTTTATATTTGTACATTCTTAATTTTCTTTTAAATGAATATTATTGTATGTTCTGTGTAATTATGTACGTATGCATATGATGGGCATGAGTCAGGTCGGGTTTTTGGTTCATCCGATCTAACTCGAGAACAAGGAGTCCTCCACCCGAAACACGACCTGACCAAAATAAGTTTTCGATTGACTCGAACCAGACTCGATATATATAACTTAAAAACTCGACTCGACCCGAAATAATAATAAAATATTATTATTTTTAAATAAAAACAATGACTTAATTAAAAAAAACTAATATATAGAGGGATGTTATTATAATTATTCTTAAATATATAAAGTAAAATTATATTTTTTTTCAGGTCGGATCGGATATTTTCACCCTAAACCCAAACTCGACTTAACCCTAACATTACATTAAAAAACCCTACCCGATCGGGCCGGATCGAATTCAGATCTAATGTCTATTACGTATACATGTTAATGTGTATTTTTTAAAATAATTTAAAAAATGGGATAAAGTACATTTTAATTCTTTAACTATTAATATTTGAAATAGACAAATTATTTATCAAAAAAGAAATAGACAAATTACAGCCACAAACGCCTATGTTACCTTCGATATCTTTTCTTTCCTTCTTTTTTCACAAGGAAACCTTTGGTTCTTATCTTACTAACAACAGCAAAGCAGCGAAACTTTGATTTCATCAATGGCTTCCTCTCTGATTTTAAATACCATGTCTTTTAATTTATCCTTTTCTCGTTCAAATCCGCCGTCCTCCACTCAACTCGTTCGTGGCTCTGTCCGGCTCCCCCGATTCAACAAGGTTGGGAAAGCCTTGAAACTCAGTTCCACCCAGAGCATTTTCTGGGTTCCCTTCATTTACTTCCCAAAAGCCTTGCAGTTCTACCTCGGCACCCCAAAGACTTCAATCCCTCACTGTCTTTGCTGCTAAAGGCTACAAAATGAAAACCCACAAGGTACTTTGCTTCTGTTCTTTACTAATCGAAGAAAATATTCAGTTTTTTAATCTCAGAACGATTTGTGAATTTGTTTCGCTGTATTGAATTGAAACTTGGGTCAAAAGAGACCAGTTTTTTCCGATGTTGTTTTAGGATTCTCAAAAGTTGGAAATTTTATAAGCACATTCGGTTATTTGCATCAAATCATCCAAAAAAAAGGTTCAAAATTTGTCTTGGTAATAAAATATTATAGCTTAGACATTTGGAAATTTTGTTGTTCTAATGGATTTGGTGTTGTCTTATGGTTGATTAGGCTTCTGCAAAGCGGTTCCGGGTGACTGGAAGAGGGAAAATAGTTAGGAGAAGAGCTGGGAAGCAGCATTTGTTGGCTAAGAAGAACACAAAGCGTAAATTGCGCCTCTCCAAAATGGTTTGTTTTTTTCCCTCGCACCAAAGTTGTTGATTTGCTTGTGCTTTGTTCTTGTTGAATATTTGAGCTTTTAGAAAGTAGAAAAAAGGTGTGTGCTATGTTAGTAATTGCTCCAAAATTCATGCTGGATTCGGTCTTATGTTAGGAGTGGGAGATTTGGTTCCGAAATTATGTCCCTAATTTTGGTGGATCCATGATTCACCTCCTCTGCCTCACTGGCTCCTTTCTTACGCATTAGTGGGAACTTGGTCGTTTCGCTAATGTAGTTTCCCTAGTTCATTCGGATTGGTAAATGAACTGTACCTCGGCATGTCAATATTTTCTATAACACAATCTCCCTATCACCCTTTTTAATTAAAATTTCCAAAATGAATCCTGAAGGATCAGCTGCCATTGGTACATTTTCATCTCTTGTACCGGCAGAGGATTCGTATGTCCTACAAAGCATCTATCTTACCTTCTTTTAGAGTGGAATTATGTAACTATGGTTTCATCGGTGATCGTGGTTATTATTAGTTATCAATTGTTAGTTGAGTATGGTGAGGTCGAACACAGAATGTGCACGAACATTGACCTTAAGGAATGATCGAAGGTATTCAAAAGTAACATGCACTGTGACCAATAAAATGTTTTGATTAAATGCTGAGTCGATAACGTGGTTAGATGTTTCTTCCTAGGAATTCATGTAATGATAACCAGGGTGTATATTCTGAGTGTCCACTTCATCTGTTACTGTATCTCAAGGTGAAATCCTTGTTATTTGTTGTTAGCCTTTTTTTTTCCCAAGATGAACTGGTATTGTGAGAAGGTTCCATGATCGGTCGAGTCTTCACTCTTCACTGGAACTCAAATACAAAATATATATGCTGGATATTGGGATTAAAACATCACCATTGTGAGAATTTGCTCATAAACTACACTTAGGCTTCAAATGCGCCTTTTAACATCATGGACTTGCATCCTTGGTGTTTAGTGGCCATGCTTCAAGATGCCTTGGTACATACGAGAAATTGATCCATTAACTTATTTCGTTTAAACAGACCGTTTAAGTTGCTGAGATAAATCGAAATTAAACACGTATTGCTGGACGTCTGAACTTAAATCTTTAGGTCTCTATCTCAGTATAAAAACTTTATTTTTATAGTGTACTTTTTGCAATTTCTGTCTGCAGCACGAAGTTAGCCGGAGTGACTACGACAATGTGATCGGTGCCTTGCCGTATCTCAAAGTGAACAGAAATGCCAAGTGAAAGGTGACCTCAACATGTGAGGACTCATTTTGTTTTCTACCGATTTTCTCGATATCATGTTAGAGAAAGTCTGTTGATTGTGTTTAGCTTTTAATCTCTGATACGGTTACCGGCCATTGATCGTTCCCAAGTTGAAATTTATTCTTCTTTTCGGATCGTGTTAAGCACCTATTGGATTTCACTTTATGATGTGCATTGAATGCCTATGCTTTGGGGTTGCAGTGAGCTGCATTTTTCTTCTGGCAGGGAGAGTTACACCTTTCTAGTGTATGTTTCTTCATAATGGCATTTGAGCAGCAAGCATTTGTTGCAGATTTCCATGTCCATAAAACCCCATATGTTAAAGCAAACTATGACTTAATCTAGTTGGTCTAAGACCCTCTCTTAAACATTAGAGTACACTCCAGGTGCCCCAAGAACTTGCGTGTACTTCCTTTCAGATCACTCACTTTCCCCTTTGTTTTAGCGGCCAACTCGAGTAAAGGTTTGTGACCGGCAGAAATGTAAATGATAAACATATAGTTTTCTTGTGAACTATAATAGTGAAACATTCTCTCTCAATAGTAAGACGACACCGTTTTACTAAAATTTGTAAAACAATAACTTTTAATTAAAATAATTGAAATATAAACAGCAAATCTAAAGCAAAAACAATTTTTAGGGTTGAAGACACTAAATTTCGTCATTCAAGCGTCATTATATTATATAATATAGATTTATATTATAAATTATATTATATATCCATTTATATCTAATACATTTATTTACATTTTTTTTCTCTTTTCAGGCCCAATTGGTGCCCGAATACAATAGCAAGCCCACACACGCAACCCAGCTGGAGCTAGGGTTTCCAGAAACCCTAGCAGCTTCCCTCTTTAGCGCCGCAATCTTTGCCTCACGAGTCCTCGCAACCCACGTTTCCCTCATCCGATTTTCTCAGCGCCGTGAATTCCTCAACCTCACCA